AGAGGGAGCTTTTCTATGTCTTCAGTCCATCCCCAGTGCTTATCCATTATGGCTGGGGAACTATTTCTTCAGGGTGAAGAACTAAGGTGAAGTGCTGCTGTGGCAAAAGGAAAGGCCATTAGAATGCAGACAAGGGATTTAGTGTTGAAATGGGAGTCAGCACGGTTAAGTGGAAACTTGCTCGGCTCTTGCAAACAAGAGACAGAAAGGAAGAGTCATCATGATGGAAGGAAAAGTCATGGCATCATCTTGTCTTTTCTGCCTTTGTCATGCTCTTTAACAACTGGTATGACGCCAGTGCCTTTACTAATGGCAATTTTAAGATCAGCTCTGGGAAGGAAGTTTGCCTGAAGAAAACCGTGTGTGTTTCTTGTTTGGTGTTGAGAACAATCGTTTGCTGCTTTAGGGCTGTGACTCACTGAGAACATTATGGGTGCTTTGTAGGTATGGAATGGGAAGCAGGTTTCCATGAGATCTATAATGATATGAATCTTTGAATTCTGCTGCTCTGTAGGAGTTAATCCAAAACCCAGTGAGGTAAATGCAAACACCCCAGTGGCTTTTCAGGACTTTTTGTCAAGCTGCTGAGCTGAGGAGCCTATAAGCTTTGCTAATGACAGTCTTCCCCCAGACAGTGCGTGGTGACTTGTTCTTGACTTCTTAATCACTTTCTGCCTTCTTTAAAAACCAAAACGCTGACAAAAACCACCTTGCCAAGCAAACCCCAGAGAGCGCATTGTCTGGTTATGCCCATTCTTACATTAGACAGTGAGGATCCATGGGCAAGAAGAATGTGCTTTCATCCAGTTCAAGTGTTGATGATACTGAAGACAACATCAGAGAAAGATTTGAGCAAAATCTGGCATGGCAGGACATACTTACCTGGCAAGCTTTTAGAATGACAGATTTACACTGTACTGTGTGGTATGTCTTGTACCTCTCTTGCATAGACCTGTTGCAAGCCCATCTGTATTTGTTCCAAAAAATGTTCACTGAAGATTTACCAATTATTTTTTTTTCATTTCTTTGATAGTTTACTTTAATTGCTTTTCTGTAGTTCATTCTAATTTCAGGTTAATTGTGTACAATTTGATGACAGTGTGCTGTGTCTACCAAATGCAAATTCTCCAAAGGCTTCAAGAGGCATTTCATCTTAATGAAAATGCTGTTTGGAAGGGAGATATGTGGTTTTAATGCAGAGGTCAATTTTGGCAGCTAATGAGTTGGTGTAAATAAAAAGAAATGTCTTCCTGAAGAACATATTTTTTGTTTAAGAATAGAAAGCCATGGAATTTTTTTCTCAGTCCGGCCTCTCACTGAGTTAGGAAGGCAAGATTTTTTTTCTTACAGCAGTTTCTGAGCAAGCTTACTTTGGCAAGGCTTCATGAACCTGGCCTGTTTCTGTTGCAGATGACAAGTGCCCCTTTTCTTGTGGCCAGGTGACTCACTGGCCAGTGCCATGCATAAATTGAGGGGTAGGGGCATGGAAGGAGCAGAGAAAGCAGAAAGCAAGCATATACGAATGCTCTGAATAATCCATGGAGACTGAGTAATTATGTATGGCTTTTAAAGAGATGAAGATGTTGATGGTAGGTATTGGGGTTTTTCTGAAGCAAGAAGAAAACTTACATTCAAAAATCTAAGAAAATATAATGTGGAACTGCAGATCTGTGCTAGCTTTTTTAAAAAAATATACAGTGTCAAGTTGAAAACATTTAAGACTTATTCACTTGTCAAGGAAAAATAGTATCAACTGAAAGGGTGATGATTTCCAATTTATCTGTGGGAAATGATCTTGCTGCATGCTTTCTCCTCTTTAAAGGGAAGATAAATCCATTTTATTCTACATAGTCCTTTTATCCTGTGCTGTTCATTTGTTATTTGCCAGGAAACAGATAGGATTTGAACGTGTCCTTAGCCTGGGCATAGGGAAAAGTGGTTTGTAACTACCCAAATGGAGTGGAAAAGTTTGTATCCCATTAGCAATTGTCAAAGACTAAAGCACCACAAACTGTAATCACTTAAGAATGTGTCTACAGTATTAAGCACATTTGAATGAATTCCAATGAATGAGTTCTAAGTGGAGCCAGTTATGAAAGTCATTGGATGTATTGAAAGTCTTTGGTTTAAATTTCTGAAACAAACATCAATTAAAATCCAGTAAAAAAAGTATTTTTACAGTTACCCTTTTCTCTCAGATGGAAAGTAATTTCTTCCTTTGAAGGAAGTCTTGTACCATAAGCAGCATATTCAGTGAATATTAATGACATTTAACTGGTAGGCTTATTCAGGAAGTTTTTAAATTTTTTTTTTTTATTTTTATTTTTTTTTGTTTTGGTGAAAAATTTTGTAACAATGTTTGGTCTCATGATTTTCTTTTTTTTTCCCTTTCTAAGTTGAAACTGTGGAATGTGAGCATCAGAATACAGATTTTTTTTCTGAAAGAAAACTTTTGGCAAGTGATTGAGCTGTGACAGGGAGGTGCCAAATGGGAATTAGGTGCCCAGTTCTCATTGCCTTTGAGCATCTTAACTGCCGTTTGTTCTTTTGTTAATCTCTCTTTTTGATCCGAAGTAATTGGCTTCTGCCTGTGTATATTTATCTCCTTCTGTGAGGCATGTGTGAAGGGGAATGTGTTGCAGGGAGATTGGGACTGCTTATGGTATGGAAAAGAGCATCAGCTGTGTGCTGGCAGCTCCTTGGATGTGCCAGCATGCTGAATGTGGCTTGTGGACCTGCAGAGTGGGAGAGCACCAGAGCAGGAGTCACCTTCTGGTGACCTTATTATGCCAGCAACCAAAATGAGTTGCTCAAATATGTAATTATCAGGTAGGGACTGGATTCCATGGATTCGGTGCAAGCTCTATATTGGCTGCCAAGGCATGGCTGCTCTTGCTGATAACCTCGGACGCTATCACTCTCCTGGTATCTACAAGCTTCTTGACTTAGATCCAAGATAAGAGATCTCAATTTTGTTGCTCTTTCAGAGCTTAAAAGAGCTTTCAGCTGCTTCAAAATGGAGAAAAAAACCCCAGCAAAATCAGCTCTTCCCCTCCAAAGAGGAAAAAACCCAGAAAGAGAAAAGAGAAAAACCTTAACACAATGACAAACAGAAACTAACTGAAAAACTCCCTCAAACAAGCAAACTAGAAAAACACAACCCTGAACACTGAACCACAAAGATCTCTGAGGAGCCCTTGAGTTTGAATGGGAGAATGATTTGTACTGAAGTTTCAAAAAGACAAAAGTGTGAAGCCTTTTCTCAGTGCCTTTGTAGGAAAACTCCAGATAAATGCTAAGCAAATTCCCTAAGCCAAACTTTCTACAGGTTGGTAATTTCATCTGACTTGTCATGGTGCCTTATTTTTTCTTTGCAAACTCTTTTGCAAAACTAATGATCATCATCAAAAGAAGTGAGAAAGGTGGCTGGGAGCTGAGCCTAGGCTATGCCATACGTAATACTGAGGATCTATATCTGGGTGGATTTGACCAGTTTTCAATGTTTTTTCAATGTTTTGTGTGTTTGTACGTCCCACCATGTTTCTGTTGCCATCACAGAAATGTGGATGACTGACATAGCTGGAGCCCTGGATGGCTACAAGCTCTTCAGAAGAGACAGGAAAGGGAGGAGAGGTGGAGGGGTGGCCCTTTATATTAGGGAGGCTTTTGACACCATCAGTATTGAAACTAATGATGATGGAGCTGAATGTCTATGGGTAATAATTAAGGGGAAGGCCAATAAGGCTGACATTCTATTGGGAATCTGTTATTGTCCACCCAACCAGGAAGAAGAGGTGAGCAACTTATTTATTCTATAAGCAGCTAGAGAATGTTTCAGGATGATGAGCCCTTGTTCTTGTAGGTGACTTCAACCTGCCAGACATCTGTTGGGAACTTAATACAGCAGAAAAGAGGCAGTCCAGGAAGTCTTTAGAATGTGTGGAGAACAACTTTTTGTTGCAGCTGGTGAGTGAGCCCACCAGCTCAGTCCCAAGAGGGACTATGTTAGACTGGTTGTTTGAAAATAGAGATGGGCTGGTGGAAATGTGGTGGTTGGAGGCTGCTTGGGGCACAGTGATCATGAAATTAGAGAATTCTCAATGCTTGGTGAAATTAGGAGGAACATCAGTAAGACTTCTACACTGGATTTCCAGAGGGCAGACTTTGGCCTCTTTAGGAGACTTATTCCAAGAATTCCTTGGGAAGCAGTCCTTAAAAACGAAGGGGATGGTGTGGCTGGACAGTGCCCAGGCAGAAAGGAACTGGGGGTACTGGTGACAGCTGGCTGAACATGAGCCAGCAGTGTGCCCTGGTGGCCAAAAAGCCAACAACATCCAGGCCTGGATCAGGAATAATGTGACCAGCAGGGGCAGGGAGGTCATTCTTCCCCTGTATCTGGCACTGGTGAGGCTGTACCTTGAGTTCTGGGTCCAGTTCTGGGCCCCTCAGTTTAGGAAGGACATTGAGACACTTGAGTGTGTCTTGAGGAGGGCAACAGGGCTGGTGAGGAGCTTGGAACACAAACCCTATGAGGAATGGCTGAGGGAGCTGGGGTTGTTTAGCCTGGAGAAAAGGAGACTCAGAGGTGACCTTACCACTCTCTACAGCTTCCTGAAAGGTGGCTGTAGTCAGGAGTGAGGTGGCTGAGTCTGAGGGTCAGTCTCTTTCTCCAGGCAGCAACTGACAGAACGAGAGGACACAGTCTTAAGCTGTGCCAAGGGACATATAGGTTGGATGTTAGGAAAAGTTTTTTCAGAAAGAGTGATAAAGTATTGGAATGGTCTGCCCAAGGAGGTGGTAGAGTCACCATCCCTGGATGTGTTTAAAAAAAGACTGGATATGGCACTTGCTGCCATGGTTTAGTTTTTGGTGTTAGGGCATGGGTTGGGCTTGATGATCTGGAGGTCTCTTCCAACATAGTCATTGTGTTGCTGTTGAGTTCTGTTGCAATTGAGTTCTGTTGCTGTTGTTGTTGAGTTCTGTTGTTTTATGCTCACCATTCTGTGTGCAGAACTGGCGCAATGAGTGACATAGTTTTAAGCATCCAGACACTAAAAAAATCCAACCGCATAGAACAATCCTGGTAAACATCTGTTTTGGAAGGTAAAACAAGACATAGACAGTAAATAGACAGAAAATATTTTTCTTTGTTATTCAGTCTGGTTAGTGAGTTCCTTTTCTCCTAAGTGCCTGGGATGGCACGGAAGGGCTTGTGTGGGGGAAGTGGGATCATAGAATTAACGATTATATAACAATGCAAACAAGACTGAACAAAGCCTGGTTAGGCAATCTGTGCTGTGTAAGTAACTTTGTTTGCAGGGGTGTTTGTGGAGATGTGGGGTGTTTGTGGAGATGTGTGCAAATCAAAAACAGTGGGTAGCGTATAAACATTAATTAAACCATGTGGTGATTTTATAAGTGAATGTTGTTCAATAACTAGGAGTCAATTACACATTTTTTCCAGAGGGCATTCAGTGACACAAGGTAAGCCACTACATGGAGAAATTCCCTCAGTTCTTGACTCATAGCCATAACTCCCAAAGCAGTAATTCCAAATAGTTACCAAGTGCTCTTCTGCTGTTTTAGGTTGTGATCTTTGCAAGAGCTTCCCCTGTAATTTCTAGGTAATGTGGTTTGAGTGCTGTTGTTGCATTTGTCGCAGTTTTGGAGACAGACGCACAACAGGACACACTGAGGCAACAACAGCCAATGTTTATTCATGGCTGCCCCCTTTTATGGGGGCTCAGAATTCCCACGCTTGATTGGTCAGGGTATCAGCACTGCCCAGCTCCCTGGCCAGTGATATGTCTGCATTCAGGTTTGAAATGAGATTGGCTGGGGTCCCCTGTTTGAGTTCAAATCCATCCTATCATTGTTCACCCTGGCATTTGTTTACTTCTATTCTATAATGAACTAGGTGGGCTGAGTTTGGGGGTCTCTTATGGCCAAATTTATCTGTGCAGCTTCAGACTAGCTGTAGCAGTGACATGCTGTATTTTATAGTTTTCTATAATATTTGTACAATTAATTTAATGCACATATTTCAATATACAATATTAAACTATACAAGGTATGCAATATTTTGTAGACTTTTATATTATAAAGTATTAAGCTCAAAATGCTTTGTTTTAGGAGTTAAAATTTAATTGATTGATGTCATGGATGATAAAAAGCAGAATAGGGTGCTCACATATGTGTAGGGATATCCCAGTATGTAAATGAATCTACTTACCAGCTTGTTTTGTTATGTGTGGTTCTGGCTTCCCTCAAGCACAGTTAAAGACTGGGAGGTATTTATGTACAAACAAGAAACTCCAAACACACACTGCTTTGGAAGTCTGGAAAGTCTATGTAGAAGTCTCTCATTTTCAAAAGCATATTGGTATACATGATATATTAATGTTGCTAATTATTATTAACTAACTTTAGCAATTCTTAAAATCGAGGAACACAACATGCATTGACAAAACATGAAATATTTCTTTAATGATTTTGAACAGCAGAAAGAAGTCTTTAGGGTTAAGTGAAACATTTGCTTGGCCCAAGTAATAGTTTCATGATATTGATGCATTAAATCTATGTCAACAGATGTAATGTATTGTAAATAGAACTTTTATTGCTTTAAAAATCAGTGTAATGTAGGGCTTTGAATCGATAAAAGGGTTAAAATAAATCAATGTAAAGGACTAAAAACCAATTAAAAATTGAAATGCTTTTCTAGAAGCATCAGCAATACTTTGCCTTAAAAAATGTGCAGACAGTTTGAGTTTATGCAGGCAAATTTTAAAAACTTCATTTATCACCATGTTACTAAATCCTGCTGTTACTCCTACATTCTTTTTGTTTTCTGAGTTGAGAGGAAGGCCTGAACTGAAACATCTCACCCAGCCTCAACTTCATATTCTCTTGAAGTAGGCAGAGTTATTGTGGGGAGGAAAAAAAAAAAAGCAATCTGTTCTGAGTCTTAGGAGTTCTGGAGAATCTACTTTTGCCTTTGATAAAACAGTCTGAGGGTTGATAGGCACTTGGCAGCTACGTAAGTGTGCACAGCAGCCTTTCCCCTTTAGCTGCTCGTGCTTGATTTCACTGTGTGGAAGTGGAAGTTGTTTTCAGGTTGTGCCTTACCCTACTTCACAGCTCAATGCTGCTCAGCTGCCTCAGGTTTGGAGAGGCTGAGAGTGAGATAACAGAGGGATAAGCAGGTTAGGCCTGACCTGAGGCACAGGGAAGGCAACTCACAGCCTGTCCTTGAGCTTGGAATGAAGGAAGCATCCTGCTTCTTGCTCAGGGTTTGGAACTGTTACTTGCCTATCTCCTTCTGCAAGCCAGAAAATCCTATAACTGCTGGTCTCCCAAGGTGCTGTATGCTCTAACGAGTTATGTACTGTGCCCAAGAAATAACTGACTCATAAAGTGTAGCTCTGCTTTGGAAAGCACTGAAAAACTGATGGTGGGTAAAGTGTCCTGTATTGCCAAGAGGATAGTTGTGATTTAGAAAGAAAAACGTGCACTAGAATGAAGTACCTGACTCTGTGGCACAAAAGATACTTTGGAGCTTCTAAGTTTCTTGTTTAAGGGCTCTGTTTGGTATCTGAAGTGCTGCAGTGGCTGAAAGTCAACTCCTACGAAAGTGGCATAAATCCTGTCAGAATGCAGCTCCCTCTGCCAAGATCTAGGACAGGAAGCTCCTGCTGCGGAGCCACAATGAGCAGAGTCTGTTGCTCGTGATGAGAAAGGAACCCACTTAACTCAGATTGAGGAATTACCGCTCTGCTGAACTGGATCCAGGCAAAAGTCTTTGTACTTATAAATTACTTAAAGGCTTTTAAATTTCTGAGGGGGAAAACCCCTTTAGTGTGGGCTTTGATATTGGGAATAGGATGTGCTTCTCTGATGCTACAGAAATAGTCTGCAAGTCTCAGTCCAACCTATTCTCATGATTTTTGTTGTGATTTTCTTTCTTGCTCCAGAGTTGTCTGTCATTCCCTCCAGGTACCCTTGCATCTGAGACAAATGCAACAGAATAGTAGTGACTTGTGAAGGGCTTTAGGCATTATGAAAGTGAGAAAACAGAAGGATAAAAAAAAAATGCTTTAAGGTTCTATTACTTGATGGATTATCTCCAGGTTCAAACCTTTGGTTAGTAAGTACTTGGGGGGGGGGGGGTGGAGACAGGGAAGAAGAAATTATCTTGTAATGGGAAGTAATTTAGGACTGTGATAAAAGCTCAGTAACTCTGTATTCTCTTGACCCCTTGTAAATCAGGCTCCTGATCCTAGAGCCGCTAAAGCTAGTGAGTAAATTTACTCAAATTATTTCGGGAGGATATGGATTAAGTTTATGCAAGTAAAGGTTTTTGAAGTCTAGACCCATACTGTGTGGCTCATACCTGTTCAAAATTAGCCCTTTAAAACTACTTGCATGCTTTATCAGAACTAAAATTGGTAAAGTAGAAATCTTATATGGGAACTCAGTTACCGAACCTTATATTAATTTTCCCTCTTCCAAAAAATGCTGGGACTATAGGAAAGTGTGTGAAACATCCCTGCATCTGCCATCATGATGGGATTCTGCTGACAGACCAGGATGGTCCCTGAGTGCTGTGAGACCTGCCACAACTCTGCTCCTGGGGTCCCGGAGCCAGCTCAGTCAGCTGTGCGTGTCATTGCTGATGGGTTATTGGCTTATGGCAAAGAGTGACTCTGTGGACAGTTTCCCAGTGTCCCTGTCCTAATCTGAGCCTTATAATATCATATTAACAGATAAATATGACTCCTGACCTATTTATTTTCAGAATGATTTGGGAAGTGCTGTGGGTTGCGTGATGTACAAATCTAAGATTTAGAGGATTACTGGGGAATATTAAATTGTTGTGGCTGGATCACATTCAGTCTAAGAATAAAGATTTTTTTTTCTGAAAGTTGATACATAATGTAATTTTATTCTTAGTCATCACAGGCTTCCCTTTTTTGTATTTTTTTTAAGTTATTTGGCTTCTTCGTAGAAACCAATAAGCTGGTGACAATTTCAGCCTCCAATTCAAAGGTCCAAGGGTTCATGAAAATCTGATTCCTACTAAAGGAAGACCAAGACTTTTGTTCCTGGTCTGGTGAGCATTATCAGATTGTGCATCACTCAAATGGAGAGAGGTGCATAGGAATTGCTTCTTAACATAGCAATTTCTTCCAGTGTGTTTTCATTAGGCCACTGGAGAAGAGGGGGCAAGTGCCCATTATTTTAATGTAAGTAGCAGCTGGAGGCCTAGTTATGCTGAGAATTTACCTCTGAGTAACTACTGAGCTTAATCATGTTACTAAAGTAAACATTTCCCCAGCATAGACCACATCTGTGTCTTTTAACTGAGTAAGGTTTGATACAAAGTGGATAACAAAGCCATCCAAATAATTCCTCTCTTTCTAGGTCAGTGCTTCCTTCAGTGTGCACTTGCTTTTTGAGAGGCAGTGGCTGTGAAGTGTCTGTTGGGCTCTGTATTACGTTAGTGGCACGTTTTCACTTCTTCTATATGTTGTGGATGATGTTGTATCTGCAAAAGCTGTGCTACCAAAGTTGTCAGGCTTCAGCTAACAAAGTGTGTACTCTTCCCTCAGGAGATATCACTCTAATTTTAGACATTTGAAAACAGGGTATAACAGAAGTGGAGATGGGGAAAGAATGTGAGAACTGGATGTATTAGATCAGTAAACATTCTGAATTTACTCAGTAAAAGTGGAGCGCGTAGAAGGAGAAGTACATAAAAGAATGAATGACCTTTGTTAGCTCATCATTACAGCTGTCAGCATAAAAGCAGATCTGGAGGAGATGTGAATCAGGAGAGCAGAGCAGATGGGTATGTTGAGGGTAGCTGAAGAGTGAAACTGAGGACAAGAAGTGGAGGGTTTTTTATGGGAGAAGCGGGTGCTCTGTGGAGTCTGATGTGCCAAATCCCAAGTCCCTGAATATTTGATCATGTTTAACTATGGATCTGGATGAAAGAATGAAAATGTACTGAAATATACAGTGAAGTCAGGAAGGTTAAGGCTAAAAAGCTGAACTGTCTCATGTGTGAGTAGAATTAGTGCAGAGACCTAGATTTGTGGAGGAAT